GGAATCGAGCATAATGGAAGCCGTACTGTGGTGTGGTGTGGTGCGGTGAGGAGTGAGCTGTTATGAGAAAACTGATGGAGGCGGAGCTGTGTGTACTCCATGGCCTGGGAGCTTTAATATTTGCATAAACGGAAGGAGGAAAAAACACAAGTCGGTTGGTTGGTTGGTTGGATATGGAGCACTTTTGTTTCGTGTGCAACTTATGGTCATGCGGAGAGCATGTGATACAACAGTGGCGAAGTTGTATATTGGGATCTCATGAAGACTATTTCTCTTTCTTCGAAGACTTGATTGAAGATTCGAGATTTTTTGTATTATTGCGACTTGGCGATATGAAACATGATGACTGGGTATAATCAACGAGTAGATTTATTATTGTTTTCTGATGACTGTTTGCGTTTTGTCCATAGAATCTCTTATCGATTCTTCACATGAAAAGTCTGGGCTCTCCAGTAATTGTCCTTATCCGAAATCCAAAGGGTAATTCTCGTCCTCACTCGATCACATTAATTTTCCGAACGCAGGAATAGGAGAATCTGAATGCGCTAGTTGGGGTTTTCTGAAGAACCAACCGATGGGGTTTTCGGCACAAGTATCTCTTCGGCCAATTGTCAATTATGAACACAGATACAATAATGCAATACGGCCATTTGAGCATAATCCCAGGCCAGCAGATTGCCAGCAACGAGCTGAAGCTGAAGCTGAGGGCAAGGGAAGTGGCAGGTGATGTTTTGCGCAAGGACTCCGACTTGGCGCCCCAATAAGTCAACCGAAGCATCTCGAAGCAGCCCAGATCATCACCCGATGCGATCCCCACACCACTTCCAAGTTACAAACACTGTTGGAGTCGAGGCCATTGAGAAAAGTCCCTCGCCGAAGACCACTGACAGCAGTTCCCTCCACATGGAGAAAATCAATGTGCAGCACTCGCTTCCAGCTCCTCCGAGCGACCGAGAGCTCCAAGTTGCTTGTTGACTCGTCCCAGCCAGTGAGTGCTGCAGCAAACAGTGCGCCAATGGGGCAGGCCCTGCCTATGGGGCATGGGCATGACCCATAGCCAGGGAGGGCATCCCCGCCTCCTCCCTGCCTCCCTCCCTCCCTCCCTCACTCCCTCGGGCGTGATTTGGTGGGAGAAAGTCCAAATGGCTGGCCATGTAAATCTGGACAGAATGTCCATCGCCTCTGATCTTAAATGAGGAAATGACGCTCCTCTCACAGATCACAATATATGGTCGAATGTTTGGCGAGACCCGACAGTTCCTAAGTAGGACCCTACACAGTACAAGTGCTCAAACTTCAAAGATGAACATTCCTGCACCCCCCAGCCTGCCCAACGATTGTGTGAATTTGTTCTTGCCCATGGTTGGCTGTGTGTGACATATGGTCGCTGGCTTCTGGATTCAGCTCAGCTCATCGGGACATCTGGAATAGAACAAGCGAAGCCAAGGTCGAGTAGGGGTGGGGCGAGCTGAGGTGAGGACATCCAGACAAGCCTTGCAACGCCTTGAGCTTGAAACAAATGCCCAGCTTTTAACCTTTCCACTTGGGACAAGGTTGGAAGTCCCACTCCTACTGATCCACACATGACCACGAAACAAGGCGCTTCAGCGCAAACTGTTCTCGTTGTGGGTGGACTCTCTCTCACACACAAACAAATCTGGGCATGGATTCTCCTGACCTTCTAAACGCTCCCATCTCCCAGCCGTTCTTTTTGTATCATGATCCAATCTTTCATTCATGAGCGCCAAAGAACAACTTCAACATGTCATTGCACTTTTAAGACCTGGCCAGACCGACTTCTAGTTATCCGAAATTTTTGGCACTCAGAGGTGAGTATAATGCAAGAGGGGGTAATGCTTCAGAACACATCGTAACCTGTTGTGATACGCTTGTGGCAGGGGTTTATTGGTTACGAAGACTTTATAATCACCATCTTATGGATTGTATGGTCAAGTTATCAATATTCAACAAAATTGCCAGAGGAATTTTGTTGAGTAATTTCAGTCCTTTCCAAGTCTGAGGAGAGATTTTTAGCAGGCTTTGTCGAAAACTTGGATAATGGACTCACATAGACAGTCTGATGAAAACATGATTTAGAATATGAGGAGTTTTTTTCCGTCCTAAAGGATATTCCTCTACATTTCTTTCATGGAGCCAAGAGAAACGAAAGAGTGAAATTCCATCAGCATTGATGACTAAATTCGCATACATGTTATCCATGAAAGGAGCCTAGGCTACTTCAGACAATGTTGGTTTTGTAGATCACGCGTGCCGTGGAGGTCTACAAAAGTGGAGGCCAGGCTCGTAAGCACCTCATTAAGGGTCTTGACACCGAAAGTGGAACAAGTGACATTCCCCCAACTTTTCCAGTCCAGAGCACTGAAATCTCCTCGATATTCCTCGATATTCCTCACAATCAACGACATATTCCCCTCTTATTATGATGATGCTCGTTGCGAATATCTGCTGTGCGATCCATCCTGGAACGCGTGGTGCCCCGAATTCGGTGAAAACGTCGCGCACGCATCTGGTAAAATGCGAATCGGAGGGAGCGAGCGAGCGATGGAAATGTTCCTGCTTCGGACCGGTGTGCACCCTTCGAATTCTGCAAGCCACGGGGAAAATGAGGATTGCATTTTCCCCCGATGTAAGAGCAACTAAATTAAGGTATACCTTGTGATGAATACAGTGGAGTAGGTGAGCAGCTGTTGTGGATTTTCATGACAAGATGGTGAGCTACCCTGACTTGGTTGCGTTATTCCTCCAATCCTTTTGATTCAGAAAGGTGTATGTAGTCAAAGTAGCTCGCATAGAGTATTTCACATGTTGACTTGGTGTGGACGCAGAAGGTGATATGACAGCAGTCTACTTTTTGGTAACATGGCCGGCCACTTCCGACCAATGCAAGCGTGAGCTTACTTGCTTAACGAGGATATCTAATCAGTTTAGGTCCTAGGGTGCAGGTTGCACAGATCTTTGTTTGTGAATTTTCAGTCGCTCGTTCTTCAGAGCTGTTGTGTGGGTCAAGGGGCAAATTTTCCGCGATCTACTTTTCAAGTTTACAATCATTGTTGATGTTGTAAGAGGCGAGACTGACCGTATGCGAGGCTTTCAGTTCGCGACTGTTTCCATGTGGAAGAATTCGTTTCGGAGAACTTTTGGCAGAGTATATTTATCATTATAGCCATTTCTTAGCGTGTGCCTAACGTGTTAACTCTGACACCGATCTGCAAGATGGAAACTATTGTAAGGTCCGGACATGGGCTGCTTAATCAGTGGATCAGTAGATAATAACATTTCACTCGATCACTACTACACCTTCGAGCGGTGCAGCCCTGCCATGGCCGGGTAAACTTCCTCTCTCTGCTGAATTTACTTCCATCGTCTTACAGCATTGAGAGAGAGAGAGAGAGAGAGAGAGACGATGGTCGGAGCTCGGATAATAAGAATAAACCGAAACGACGAGGGAAATGGTCACCTCGTCATAAACGCCGGTGCTCAGCCAGATTCACCTCGCAGTAAAACCGTAAGGTCTAATTAATGAGTATAAGTTAGCTGGTGATGCAAAGGGAACTATCGTACTAAGTACGTCATGACATGAGATGATGCGAGCAAGTCCTTGCCTCCCACAGTCAAAGCAAACTCTATCATGTTCATGTGTATTTTAGTCTGTAAACACATGGGTACCATCACCCAATCTGTTATAAACATTATTGTACAAGTGAGTTGCGGGTGTATTCTACAGAAGCCATATTATAAAACAAACTGTCTAACGTTCGCCCCGGCACAGAGACCATAAACTTCTTGAATAAGGCACCCTGAGCTAACACCTCTCAATGTTTTCTGTTCGAGACGAGATCTTCCACTGATTTTGGAGTACTTCCTATATATCATTGGCGATGACGCCCGGCAGATGATGGTATCAGTAGGTTTTCATCTTCTCCGATCAGAGATCTTGTCGGTTGTTGCACTGTTTCTCTGCGAAATGTGGCTATAAAGCCTTTCATCGAACGAAGAAGATAAAGAGGACAAGGGTTCTTCAGTTTTCTGTTCGGTCTGGTTTGTACACCGAGTTGACTTATCAGGTGAATTGTCAAAGGCTCCCCAAATGCTTTCGTCCCCAACACATCTCCATGCGCATCATCATGCATGCATCTTCCACATCCTATCCTCTCGAAACCACCCCCGAGCTCGAAGGCCATCCAATGCCTCCCGGGGATCGAATCGCCTGCAGCGCTAAACTTGCGGATTACCCAAAATGACGGAGATTAAGACCGAGCTCTGAGCCCTGCTTCGTGTAATTGTGTTTCAACGCTGTAGACCCAAACTTGGACACGGTCTGAGCTTGAATTTCGCACACACAAGCCTACCCAAGAGATGATGTCCGACCTACAGCACAAGACAATCGAGATAAGACAGCATAGTCCCGGATTGGAGTTAGTGGTAGACAAGATTAAGATCGAGGACGGTCTGCTGCTGCTGCGCTTTCGGGTGGGGTGGCGTTTTGCAGTGTAAATTTAGGAAGGAGAGAGAAAAGCGAGAGGAGAAAGAGAAAGTTGGAGGGCTCCCAAACCCACAGTACTCATACATACGCCAGTTAACGAACATAAACCAAACTAATATTAGGCCGGGAGTTTGGAGTGGACGTAGTACTTGATACTTGCTAGGGGTACACACTTGTAGAGTGGTGGTGAGTGAGTCCATGGGTCCTACTGGAGGAGAATCGGGAGAGGGAGTGGGTATGGTTAGACTTGCCCTTTCCATAATAGGCTGGCTGGCTGGCTGGCTGGCTGGCTGAGTGAGAGGCATGGGTCCTACTAGAGACTAGAGAGAGGTAGTGGAGATCGATTGGATGGGAGGGGGGGATATGCAATCTCTCTCAACTCAGGAGAAGAGGAGGGAGGGGAGGGAGGGCTGGGAGGTGGGGCTGGTCTGGTACACTCCATGCCATGCCTGCCACTTCCTAGGGGACTTGTGACGAAATACAAGTGGGGTCTACAGAAGCAAACAAAAGAAGAGTATTATATTGCGGAGATACTATATGGGGGACGGGGCAGCAGCAGCAGCAGCTGCTGCTGATCGGAACTGAACTACAGTGGAGTTGGTAACTTTTGGACCGAGGGGAGCCCAGGCTGCCTGAACCGGGAGAAAGGGTGAGATGAGCCGCAAAAAACGCATTCTGCTGGCAAGACCATGTGATTCCCAATCCACCAAAAAATATAAAGCGGTCCACTCGTCGAGTCTGCTCTCCTCCTGCCTCTGTGCCATCGGTTGCTCCAGCTCATTCACACCTCCTTTTTCCAGTCCTCTTGCCCCCTCCTCTACTACAACTGATCATCACTGCGCACTGCCATGGCCACCTTGGCTAGTAGTATTCCTGTCTGGGCCCATCTCCTGTAAGCTCTTTCACATCCCTCGCCACCTCTGTGCAATGAATGAGTTCTGACTGCCTGCTCTCTGCGTGTAGTTGTTTGCGCTCCTCGCCAATCACTTTGTCTTGGTCGACTACGAAAGTCGCCGGTCGCTGCACTCACTGTCTCTACTCACTGCTCATAATACTCACATGTGGGCCGACGCCCCTCGCCCTTCTGCTGCTCCTGCTCCTGCTCCTGCTGCTGAATGAGGTCTTGTGAAAGTGTGCACCATCATCTGCTCGCTTCTGCTGCTCCCGTTGTCGTCGTCTTCATTGCCTTGTAATTAGCTGCTCGCTCCTTCGTCTGCTGCTGCCTCCGTGTCCTCCAGTTCATTCTTCGTCAGGTGGGTTTCCGAAGCGAGTCTGTGCGTCCTGCATCCTGCATCCTGCGTGCTCCTTGCTCCTTGTCTCGGTCTTGCAGAGCTCTCTCGTCATATCGCCACGAGCATTTTCGGCTGCGAGCTTCTGCGCTATCGACATTTCGGACCTTCGGCCAGCACCATGTTCGTGCTCGGGCTCCGAGTAAACTAAAATTCTATCTATTTACAGGCAAGGCAATGAACGCATGCATTTGTAAGATCGAATCACACGAGCTCGCTCATTCATTCCCTCGTTCTCGCTGCCGATGAAATCTGCGTCGGTCGATTGCTCAGAGGTCAGTCCATCTCGAGTCAATCTCGAATCCTCATGCCCCGCGTGTCTGTGTCGAGGGCCGACATCCTCCTCCGAACACCGCACGTACTGACGGGCTTCCGGCGTCTGCAAATCCACTTCTTACTCACATGGCCGCCTGCCTGGTCTCTGACCAGCTCCGCACCTCACTGCTTGGAAACAGGAGCGGCCATGCCGCTGGATCAGAATTAGACCTGCTGCTGAAATCAAAATTCCAGCAGCGGCGGTGCGGTCGCAGGCACCACGCGGCCTTCGAATGTGGTGCAGTCAGCGTCCACTGCTGTAGCCGCCATTCTCCCGAACGAAATGGGGGTATGGAATCAGATCGAGAGTGGTGTCTGAGCTGCTGAGGTCGGGTCGATGCATGACTCGACACGACACGACACGACACGACATGACATGCTATGCTGTTTCTGCTGCTGCTGCGGCGGCTGTGCTCGATTTGTTCTCTAAGCTTGACAGTGTTGTACAGAGATTGAATTTCGTGGTGCTTGGGGCATGGCTGGTTCACTGTGACTGCTACACTGGTCGGTCGGTCGCTTGTGCTTGGGTGAGGCCGTCATTTGGTTTGAGGGGTCTGCGATTGTATTGAGTCAAGTCAAGCTCGCTAGGTCGTCGAGGCGGGCACGGCGCGAAAGCTGCTGCTGCTGCTGCTGCTGCTCTCGATCGTAGAGATCCGTCTGATCAGCAGAATGAATGAATGAATGAGCATCCCTGATACATGCGTCAAAGGGTGCAAGGCTGGGCATGGGATTCAAATGCTCGTCTCGATAGGGTGGCATGACTTTGACCGGGGCCATGGAACAATGCGAGGATTGCTGATTGTCTCATGGTGCTCACCTTCGTTTGTAATGTAATGTAATGCAGCACAAGCGACAGCGGCGTGGTGGAGCACGGGCAGCTGCCGAGGTCGACGTCCGATGCGTTTACAGATTGCGGAAGCTCGCCTCTTTCACAGCATTGGGAAACTCACGAAATGGATTACTCGTCGCACTTCATCATCCCTCCTCAGGCGCACCTGACTTCCAACTCGCACATGTCGCCCTTGCAATGGGCCAACGCGCCCGACGCTGCCCACCATGCCAGCCTCCTGCAGCACTGCTCAGACTACCAGCAGCAGCAGCAGCAGCAGCAACAACAGCAGCTGGAGATTGCGCACCACCAGCAGCAGCAGGATCAACATCCTCACCTCCTTCGACAAGCGAAATCGCACGTGAATCATTTGGTTCGTTGCCTACCTCGCTCCTCTCTTTCTCTTTCTCTCCCTTCTTTGTGGTTGCCGGATCATTCCACGATCCCACTGTCATGGGAACTGGAGCTCCAATCCAAGGAGCTCTAGAAATCGCATGGGAATGATCCTCACTTCTCGCTGATGCTCGCAGGCCGACAGTCACGAAGACAGCCGCGATTCGAAGAGACCCGCCCCGAGCATGGGTGCTCAGGAGGAGCTCGCAAATTCTGAGGCTTTTATCAAGAGGCCGAGGCTGGAGCAGCAGCAGCAGCAGCAGCAGCAGCAGACTCCCAACGTCCCGTTCAAGGTCAGATTGCACACTCGTTCCAGTTCTCGTCTGAGCGCTCCGATCTCGTCGTCTCGTCTTCGTGCATTCTGGCTGCGTTCACGAGCGTCGAAAAATCACTCGGAATTTATTAGGTTTTGTATGTTGCTGCACGAGCCTAACTTGAGGCTGCCATGGTTTTCCCGACGTGCAGATGCAGGTCCGGAAAGAGAAGCTGGGCGAGCGCATCACCGCTCTTCAGCAGCTCGTCTCGCCATTCGGCAAGGTGAGTTCTTCGATGATGGTCTTGATGTGGATACAGGTTTGTTTAGGATGCACGCTTTGCATGACGCTGCGCTGCACATCTCGAATGGATTGTGGTCTTTTTTTCATGTCCGCATTCTCCTGCAGACGGACACGGCGTCGGTGCTTCTGGAAGCAATTGGCTACATCAAGTTTCTGCAAGAGCAGGTCCAGGTACGAGAGGGGGCTCGAGGTTTGAAGTGCAAATTTATCAGATTTGAGGCACCTGTGATTTGAGATAGTGCCATCTCCATCCAGCTTACATGATTTGGGCCAAGCAGATGGATGATAATCTCGTGTGGCGTTCTGTGCAGGTGCTGAGCACACCGTACATGAAATCCAACGTCGGGCCCAGCAGCATGCACCATGTAAGTCTCACGACCTCCATTAGATGAGGTTCAGGTTCAGGTTGAGTAGTAGTATTATTAGTAGCAGCAGCAGCAGCAGCAGGAGGAGCAGGAATTTGGGAATGTTGGGCTGATTGGGGATTGGGGTGGATGTGTGATGTGACATCAGGACAATCCACACGATGTGAGCAAGATGGGATGGGCGTCGACCAAGGTGAAGAGCCAGGATGACGCCAGGCAGGATCTGCGAAGTAGGGGACTATGCCTAGTGCCCGTGTCTTGCACTCTACAGGTGGCAAACGACAACGGAGCCGATTTCTGGACGCCTGCCATTGGGGGAAGCTGCCGGTAGTGCGAGGAGGCGACGACGACGACGACGTCGTGCGCTTCTTCCTGTCTGCTGCTCCCTTTCCATCTTCTAGACAGTTTTGTTAAGTTGTTTAGTGCTCGAAGTTCTAGACCGACCGACCGACCGACCGACGACATTCTCCGATTCAGTAGTCAGTATCATCCACTGCTGCCCGCCCCCAAATGCAAGCTTCTGCAGCGCCCTGAGTTGCTTAGGTCCTACCTCGGAGCTGAATGTACATACACCGTCGCCAGTGTACTCAGGCGGACCATCCACTGAGCCATCATCCAAGCAAGCAAGCATATCAGATCAGATCAGTCAGGGCAATCAAACCCCCATGTGTGTCGAACATTAAAAGCGTCTTGGTGCTGCAGAGCTCGTCGAGAACTTAGATGAAGAGGGAGTGCACTGTGCCGTCTTCTCCCTGATATTCATTCCCCTCAAAAAGTTGAGGGAGTCAGTAAAAGTAAACAGTGTACATAAAATATGTATTGGCAATAAAACTGATGCAGCAATCATTGGACATCATTCACTTCCGATATCAATCTATTGACCTCGATCCTTCTCAGTGGATCTCGTGGGTTCTGATTGCATTCCTCTACCGGTTTTCGCCTGTGGCTCTCCTCTCACACTCCTCGCAATCCATGTGCTCTCGATGTCCTTCTCTCGTTCATGATGCATGATGCTGATGATTCGGACGTGGAAACCTCCGTCACCCGAAGCTGAGACTTCCTAAAGGCTCAGTGCGTCACCCGAGCTCGAAGAGTTCGAAGGTTTCCACGAGTCCAGGACACGAGCACTCTCCTCCACACTCCAGCATTTGGACCGAGTGTGGGACGAGAGCAAGAGCCGTGGCAGGCATTGCGCAGCATGCCCGTTAATTCTGAAATTTCTAGTCGAGGATTCGAGAGGACTAGAAGAGAATCAACGCAATCGAAAGTGTATATCGCCTTGCCTTGAATCGGCACAGCTTTTGCGCTTGATTTGGCTTGGATTCTCATTGGCTTGATTTTGCTGTGGCCCATGGGGTACCGTGGCGTACGTGAGGTGTGAGGGAGAGCTGTGCGGACACGGAGACCCAGTGACATAGCCGCAGCAGCAGCGAGCTCTGGGAAAAGTGCACAACAGCGGCTTCATGAGATCTAAGACCGTCATGAGACCTGTCAAGGCACCGAGCTCTCGAAACCTCGTGTGGGTTGTACGAGAACCAACCTCCGGCAGAAACAGGAGTCATCTCTTGATGACCAATAAATGCAAAGTGAAGGGCGAGGATCGCAGCTCGAAGTGGTTATAGATCGGAGAGGGCAGTATACGCAATCGAAAGGCAGGAGGTCGACACAGTGGTCGATTGTGGGCTTCGTGGTCGTAGAGCAAGCAGGGAATGAAAATTCTCTCGTTGCAGTGGAGTGGAGTGGAGAAGTCGGTTTGTTCCTGACTGCAGCTGCCTGCCTGCAGCAAGGACGAGTGCCAACAGTGGAAAGCTTCGTGAAGAAAGCTGCGGTTGTTGGGCCGAGGCCATAAGTGAAGCGTATCAAGCTATGGGAGAAGGACCGGTAGAATAGCAACAGACACAGCCCAGGAGAAAAGTCAGCTCCTCTGGATTGCTACACACCCTTCCGTGTGTCTCTGCGAGTACAGCAGCAGAATTACATAATCCTGCTTAGAGTGAGTCTAACGCCTTGCGTCCAGACTAGCAGGCAAGGCAGCAGCAGCAGACAGACAGGCATGCAGGGCAGGAATCGCTGACAGATGACGGGAGCAGACTTGGAACGTAAGTTCCACGCTGCTTCTTCCGAATTTTCCCTCGAGAACATCAACTCCAACAATGCTCTCAAGTCAATGCAAATGCACTCGGAAGCTTCGAATCAGAGGGCTCTCGCTCACTCACTCGCGATCGTCCTGTCAGTCCAGTCCAGTCCAGTCCGTCTACGACCGAACGGGGGACGTGCACTGGGTTCGAGGGTCGTCGTGCTAGAGGATGATTGCCATGCATCTTGCCTTGACTTCGTCACTGGCCACGACTGGAGAAGATTCTGCTTCGATCATCGATCATCGATCACGCAGTGCCTCCACATTTTAGCATTTCTCGAGGCCTGCCGACTCGACTCGATGATTGTCCGACGAAATCTCTAGTGGGTCTGATCGAAATGGTAGACGCCCTCTCAGTGGTAGCGATTTGACCCTACCAGTGGCACCACATCCTCCCGGGACAGATGAATTTCGTCGTCTTGTCGGCCTCTCACCACCGCACTTCAATTTCCTCCGCTGTCTATCGAACAGCTAGCATTCACCGAGCTGTAAGCCGCGATGCTGCGCGTGTGACATGAATGGCTGGGTGCTTCGGCGAAGGTGAAAAGTTTCGACTATGCAATCTGGTTCTCTGAGGCACAAAATCATGAGACACAAACAGTTTGGACGTGGTTACAAATGAGGTTCATACGTCTGCGAAGAAGTTGCTCCATTGGGGTCCAATACTTGCAACATTTTGCCAATCGGTCCCACTGATAGCGTGGAGAACGAAATGGATTGGTTCAATACACGAGAACACCAGAAGTGTTTTTGGATCTCTGAACGCGAAGAGAGAATTCTCAATATTTACTAATCTCTTGAAGTAATCGTGACAAACCTCGTTAGTTATCATCAGAAATGTGATTTTGAGTTGAACTTGCAAATACGGAGAATTCTTCAACTTCAGATCATGTGCGATCTTGACTGGCAAATTGTTGTTATTTGATTTACGTGAGATCTAAAGTTTGATACCTGATTCAAATGATGTTCGTGTAAATCATTCTGAGCTAACGCTATATATATATATATATATATCATTTTTATGATATTGAAATAAAAATTAGACTGGCAATAATGTTTGTATATAAATATTGCATCACAATCTTTTTTGACTCAATACATAGCTAATTATTAGTAGAGAAAAACATAAACATAACATGTTATATTCATGCGTCACATAATAATCCACAATTGACACTGCATCATAACTGTGCCATAAAAAATTATCGGAAATGAGTATTTTAATGACCTCAATGTAACCATACTTTGTGATGATAGTTAATACTCAAGATGTTAATACTCACTGATATCTTATACTTCATTTCAATATATATCTGAACTATCAAATAAGTTTAAATATGTGTCAAAACAAAATTAATCAATAAAGTTTATGTACATGTATTTGTTAAAGGATTCTCATACAAAGCTAAGACAAAAATTTGTATTCATTTATGAAAGCCACATGACAGTGAAAAATTCATTTATGAAAAATTTTAATAAATGGATGCTAACATAATGTAATTTTTTTTGAGTGAAAATGAGAATTGTTCATAATTACTTAAGATCAAATTTTTTTTGAAATTTATCATATTGGAAAAAAATAGACTACATAAACCTAACATCTTCAAATGAGATACAAATTAGTTCAAAAGTAGGTGTAGAAGCTTCATAATATTAAAGGATAAGAGATCAACAATGTGAAATGAATAGCATACAAAATACATACAGCATTTTTAAACGAAAATGTTTACTTTTTTTCATTCAAGAAACCTATTATATTTACATGTTTTAACAATTATAACATGTTTTAAAATGATTGCTCTTCATTTACATGAGGTGTTTTGAATTATCATTATAGCCTTAAAATATGTAATATAGAAAAAGTTTCGCTTCACTAAAATTCTAACATCAAATTACGCCAGTTGAAATAATAAATCCATATTTTCTAACTTAGAATTATAGCGAATTTTAAATCATAGAAAGAACTGATGTCTTACAAAATGATTTAGCTTCAAGCTTATTTGAAATGAAAAAATGCAAGCAAAATCATGAACTTAAAGGTATTGAACTTTTGCGATATGAGTAAAAGAATCCAATTGGATATATAAATGATTGGAGTATCCTATTGTAATCCCTTTTGCGATGTATCATTAAGATTCCAGTCTATATATGAAAAAAAGCTAAGTATTTGTTTAGATTTGCATCAACATATCATTCATTCCAGTGATTAATCAAATGTGTTCTTTAAAAAAATAAAAATTATAGGTATCCGGATTTGGCCCAAGTCAAGAAGATTATCCATGGTTGAGAGTAAGATATTGGTCTTGTATTATGTATTCCAAAACTCTGTTATAAAAGAAAAAAGTAATAAAAAAATATGAAACGAGAGATTTTTACATGAATTTAGTATGAATTTCAAACATTAAATAATATGCAATACAGACAAGTTTGGCATGATTCTTTGATATACATATAGAAGACATGAGCAAATATCTCAAGTATATCGTGAGGCAAAAAGAAGAGCGCCCACTCGAACGTGGCCACCGTAAAAGCCGTGGCATTGCGCAGCAGCCTTAATATGACAAATTATGGCCCCCACTTACAATGGTATGTCACTCGGCCCTGAACCAATGAATGTGTTTAAGTCGATACGAGCCAATAATAAGCCAATTATCCGATCGACGACGACTTGTACTTATCCCGCTATTGTTGGAGACCGAGTCCGACGAAGGAAACTTTGGACACATGCAGTCGATGCGCTCATTCAGATGGTCGACAGGAGCCCGTGGTTGTTTCGTGGGCGGGGTGCACCTGAACCAAATATCTTCATGGCTCGGTTCAGCAACCGACCTGCAGTGCATGCTCGTGATCATGAACCTTGCATGAAAGGCTGCTGTCACTCCCCGAGGGCCTCATTGCAACCCCAGCGAGCAATGTGGGCGGATTGCACAATACCATGGGCTTCGGTCGCACCCAGGTACCGCAAAGCTGACCGCTACAGGCACTTCCTTTCCGGATTACTCAGCTCAGCTCAGCTCAGCTCAGCTCGTTGCCTTTGGAGCTTGACAGCTATGCAGGTCATCCCACACGATTCTGCTGCTGCTGCTGCCTGCACAGGGTTCGCTTCGATCAATAATTCCCGATTTTTGATTTCAGAAATCCAGAAATCACAGGGTCGCACTTCGACCGCACTCGAGTAGTAGGTTATGGGCGTCGAAGCCGAAAGTGCCACCTTCGAAATGGGCACGCGAGACGGGAGAGAAGCGCGGATGCGCATTCGGAAGCCCTCCCTCGAGCAGCAATCATCGTCCGCTTTGTTGGTTGGGCGAGTACGAAGTCCAGACCTGCCAAAAGCCCTTTCGGCCCAACGCACTGTCCAATGTCCAATGTTCACTGTGAGGCGTCAGGCTTGTCGACCGACCCACCGCTATCGCCGCTGTCTCGCTTATTTTAGCTCCTCGCCCCTCCTCCCCGATGTGGGGTCCGAATGGCTACCAAATCTGGCACCACCACCGCCTCGCCTCGCCTCGCGTCCCGTCGTCGGTCTGAATCCCTCCCTCCCTCCCTCCCTCCCTCCCTCGTTCTATCCTGCAAGTAGCGGACCTTCCTCTGGCCGCAATTTGTCGTGCCCGAGCTCCCTACAATTCGGAGCTACCTCTCGCGTTGGGATTCTCAAATCCGCCAGCTGCTGCGGGTAGACGGCCTCCCCTCCCCCGAGGCCAGTGGCTGTCCACCGGGACACTTATTATGACAGGCTCCCGATCGCCACGGGGACCGGAAGATCCCAGAGGGGATTAAAATCGGGATTTCCACCACCGGCGGGCGAGCGGGTGAAGGTGAAAAGTAAAGGACAGTAAGTAAGAGAGAGGGAGGGAGCGAGAGAGAGAGAGAGAGAGGGGGGAATTTCACGTCATTGACATGGATTGACCGAAATCCAATCCCCCGATGACCGAGCTATGGTTACTTCCTGACTCGGCAAGGGAGGTGAGGTGGTGAGTGCGAACCGGTCCGCGCTACTGTACTTGCGCATATAGATAACCCGACTGAACGACGCTCGGCAGCGGGCGTCCCCGGTCGTCCCGGTCGGACCCCAGGCGTCGGCACGCACGGTTCCGACGCCGCAGACGTAACCCGTCGACCGCGTCGGTTCCGGACCACATTGGGCTGCTGCGGCCCTCGAGAGGAGAGCGACGGGACGCCGTCGATTGGTGAAGCCGCCAAGGCTGCAGCCCGTTGCGCCACAGTGCCTACCAGGTTCCGCGCGTATAACTATAACTATAACTGCACGCTTTTTGACTTGACACAGTGCGGCGCGGATTCGGAGCATTGATGGCTCGGGACTCCAGCGGGCGCTTTTTGACTTGGCCGTGAATAAAATATCTTATTCGCCTTTACAGTGCACTACCAGGATTCTCTCCGGCAGAGGACTGTTGCTGTTCCCTGCGAGAGCATCCGAGGGAGGGAGGGAGGGAGCGGAATCTGCGGAGCCGCCAAATTTGGAGGCACGCCGGCGAACTGTAGCAGGCCTCGCTTGCTCCGTGGCATTGGCGGCGGGCACTGTAATGGCCACAGAGGGTTGGAGGTGGTTGACGCCCCCACCTCAACGTCCACTTCCTGCACGTGGCAGACCGCACCGCCAAGTTTGGAGCCGCACTGCGCTCCCTCGAGGTCATGTGCCCGAGGCCCGCTGCCCACCCCCTTTGGGCTTTAGCGTTGTCCTAGAAACGGAGGTTATCCTGTCGTGGCCGACCCCACGCAGGGCTCGAGCTCGAGCTCGGGCCGATCCTATCCTTCCCAGTCCTACCTTCCGAATCTCCGGCCCGGTCCGACCAACGGTGCCTCCCCTCATGTGACAGGGCCGAAGGATACAATAAACAAATTCCCCGAGCCTCGAATTTCATTTGACAGTTCAGTTGCGAGAGATTGCGCGAATATTTCCTCGTTCAACAAAACATGCACTGCGATGCAAGCCGCTCACTGCGCGTGCCTTGCGCAAAGGCCATAGCCGCAATCTCGCCGAGCAGGGGCCGATGATACATCTCCCACCACCTGTCAAGAGAGAGATTGAGTGTGAGAGAGATGTCGTCTCCCGACCCACATGCACCTCCCTTGCATTCGGGACGACCTGGACGTAGCTCGATGCTGTCCCGCGGAGGTGGAGTGGAATGAGGTGAACTGACGGCGACTCCCGGCATTCTCGCCTGTCGTTCGACAAACTCTTATTAAATTCGAGCTCGCGGAGTAAGCAACATGTTTTGGTCCTGAACCGCCGTACGAACTCACTCACTCAACAGAGCGAGTGCAGAGGGAGATGATCCCGTCGTAGTCTCCATGAATCTATTCTATCTACGAGCGGACGAATTCCGCCCGGGCTGGGCACCGTTATGAGAGCGCAAGGCCCAGGACAGCATGACGAAGACCGACAGCATGTGAAAGAGCTGGCATGTCGAAGAACAAGCGCAATGGCAGCAGTTTTGTTTGACCATGGCGAGCAGCAAAAGCAGTAGCGAGCGAACAGTGGATCGATTTGCATGACAGAGAACCGTCGACGAGTTGTACCGGCACAGGATTCATGCATCGGGGTACATGCGGCAGGGCATGCAAAATCTCCGCCCACTTGCGAGCCCGTACGCTCGATTCGCATGCACCCCCACAGCAGCAGCAGCAGCAGCAGCGACGACGACGACGACCTCGACGGCCATCGCCCACGACAGTCTGAGAATGTGGATAATAAGGAACAAAGCCAGCAGCCACCGACTGACCGCCTGACCGCCTGCTCCTGCCGCTGAGTCACGGCCGGAGCGGTCACATGGCCGATAGTGGCGACCAGCCCCGGTCACGAGCTCGCCAGTCCGATCTGCATGGATCCGCATCGCAGCCGCAAGAAATCACTCGGCGGCCATGGCATACATACTATGGCATGGCAGGGCAGGGCAGGCCGACAACGACATACATGTCGAGGCCTGTACTGTACCTCTGAGTTCCGAACGACGGAATCGGACGGATGGAGGCCGGGATTAGCATTGATGAGGGTTAGATTACCGAGCCGGCGAGGGGTTGGATTTCCCCGAGCGCCTGACCGTGGTCAGGTCATGTCTCCGGCGGGCAGCACAATTACCGATCGAGCAGATAAGCCCAGTCCGCACCACCCTTTATCCCGTGGCAATTAATCTCCGGTACCATATCTCCACAACAAATAAACATCGATTTTTTCGAGGGTCAAAAGCAGTAAATGGCGACCGCAACCCGAAAATGGTCGAGACCGGGCGACGGTGCACTGCGTGCTCTACCCCACTCGCAGCAGCCGGTAGGAGCAGTTTTTCCCTTTAGTTTCGTTTCGGTCCGACCTTTGACTCCTCCATCGACCGGCGACCAGACTTTTTCCTCGCTTTTGTCATGAAATATAATAAGGCTACTCCTAAGGCCATCCCAAACCGCGAGGGCGGACTCCAGCCTAGCTCCGTCAGTCTAAAGGTTGATCGAGCTCTGGGAATTATTATTTCGCCCATGGGGAAGACCCCTCGGATTAAATGGAAATGTCTGAAGGCTCGTAATGCGACGAGACCTAATGAGGCCTCTACAACCTGCGAATAAGATTGTCCCGCACGAAAAGGTAAATTCGCCCCGAAACTGAACCGAGGCTCCGGAGACGACTCACGCATGTTTTTTAACCAATCCATCCGTCCATCGGACTTTTGCACAATTGGATTCCGATACGGGATGGATGGATGGATGGATGGATGGAGGGAGGGGAGTGGGGCAGGCGCGAGCTCTCGGGGGATCATCGGACGGACGACGTGGACAAGGGGATCCACTAACGGTCCATTAATGGAAGTGGCGCGGAGCCCAGATGCCACGAGGCCAACGAAAGCCGGCGGCGGCCCCGCGCCACTCGCGTCGCGCTCGTGAATCATCAAGATGATGATGATGATGATGAACGTTGCGCTCGGCGCCGGGAAGCTGCCTGCGCGCTAGCGAGCGGGGGAGGAGGACGAGGAAGGCAGCATTTGCAATCAGCACGGGAATGCTGAAGAGGGTGCTCCGAATCATGCGACGGTGGGGCACCGAATAACACAATCTGCGCGACCCAGGAAACGCAACATTGCTCGAGCAAAAGCCGAGTCTGAAGCGAAGTCAGTCAGTCAGTCAGTCAGTCAGCCAGGGAGCCGAAGATGTGGAGAATTGATTGCCCTCGACGACAGAAAGCGCGGGCCCTCGCGTAACCATATTCACCTTTCAAGTGAACGACCGCTTTCGAGGTAAAGGCCGTTGACGCAGGAGAACATGGGTACGATGGGGTTTGCTTCGCACAGAGGAACATGGTCGTTCGTCTGTCTTTGGGCCTGACGTGGCGATACTATTGGCGTCATGATCCGTAAGTCAGTGCAGAGTTCCTTGCGATTTGGTCTTGTGCACGGAGCACACAACCTTTTGCAATCATTTCAAGAAACTACTCCGCTTCGCATTAGATGGACGAAATTGCTTTTCCTTCGCGACTTGCCGAAAGGTAGAAAATAATCGCATCCCGTTCTTCCGCCATACAGCTCAGACATCCGAAGATGCTAGAGCCCGGGGTGTCACTGGTGTAGCTACCACGAGCTCTGTCTACAGCTGATGTGTCACGAGTGTAAGGATTAGCAACAATCAGCTCGGCAGCATGTAATAGCAACAGATAAGGACCGACTGGGTGAACGCCCCCTCTGTCTCCGGATTCATAATTTAAATTGTTTGTTACTTCTAAGTTATTACTCGAGTCATCGCATCTATAGTGGAAAAGTGGAGCAAAGTAAAACACCGGTCATGGCATTGATAGCCGAAAAGCGGAAAGTGATTTGACTTTTATCCGCATCGGATGCACCTCATGGAAAAGAACGAATTTGCGATTGGGGACCGTAAAGATTCGGCGGTTCTTACGTGATTTGTAATTATCACCTATACATTTCAAGCAACGCTTTCATGGCCCATCATCCTCCAATGCGGCCTTACATTTATGTATTATCCGAATCTTACGAAATTCAAACCGGTCCAGCTGATTCTGGTCAAACATCCATACCCCTGTAAGTAGATGACTCTGTCTTAGCTGTCGGCAGCTTCTTCACGTTCTTTAAGTTTTCCTCGTGAAGTCAGATGTAAGTCATGGCGCTTATAAATGTACGCAGTGGCTAATAACTCCTTCAGGAAAGCTAGACAGAGGGAGACTCAACTCTCTTTCATCAATTGTCTACGGCTCCTTGGCACCCACAGTGAATGAAGAAGATTCGTATATGAAAACGTGCTCAGGCATTCTACCATGGAGGTGAACTTTTAGACAGAAAATCCACCCCAGTGCTTTTGGTTGGAAAATTTTATCCTCCTGGATGCAGGTCTGGTGGCTACAGAGGCTGATCTGATGCGTTTGGCATTGTTACCTTACACTGTGACATTTGTCTTCCCTTAGGATTACAGTTACACTAGGTCTCGAAGTTGCTGGAGTCTGTCATGTACTAGAACTCAACCCATTCCGGTAGTTTTCCCTGATTTTACAACAGTTCTTCATAAAAGGACCCAGCATTAAAGCACACGCCAAGTTGGAGAACATTCTCAGGATTCGAATGCTGTTGAACATCTGTAGCAGAATTATCATTCGTCTACTCCACCCGTAGGACCTCCCTCGTGAATATTGTCTTCTCAGCTTGCCCTCCTATCGCCGCACTTTTTCATATCACCCTGACTTTGCAAGAAATTTTCTCAATCTGGACCCCCATTAGTCGTAGACGTTTTGACTCTTGAGAGCTTGCTTCTTCTGCCTTGTCTCCTGGCATTGGTTCCATTTTGACTCTTGCGGTCATGTTAGATAGACATTGATGCTCTGTCCGGCGACAAAAGCTTGATCTTCAAAGACCGAGCACGTCTAATGAGTGCATCATACTTTCGGTCTTAATCACATCGGCCACCATCAAAAGCCTCCGTACATGCCAGGAGTAGATTCCCCTTCGTTGTACCAAGAGCATACGACTCGAAGAACATTAGAGCCACGTGTGCTCGACGAGGAAAAGAGTGCACAGCCTTCTCGTACGATCAAATGTACTCGATTGGACTTTGTACATTAACAAATTTCTGTAATGATCCAGAACGAGCTGCTTTTCTCTAGATCATGATGCATACATGCCAAGAGGAAGCACAACCGTTCTGTAGTACTCGCCTCTGTAAGCACTGAGCCTGCAAAGTCACCCATGGGACCTGGGTCTGTAGAAACAGCTCTCTCTTCTAGTCTGTCACGTTCGACGAGCGTAGCGAGAATACAGTCCCCCACGGGAAGGATCGGAAAGAAGCTCTTTCTTGTCAGAATCTCCATCCTTCGACAGCTCTTGGTTCCTTCTCCCGAGAGGGCGCTGCCACGCCTATGTCCAAACCTGCACGGACACTACTTTGCTTCATGCTCATACCAGCAGCATGGTACGCTTCCCCAGCGTTTCCTCGGCAAAACCCGATCTTCCTGCGGTAGTAAAGATGATTCTGTGATGAATGGCGGGGGGCAGGAAAGGGAAGGACAAGCGAACGCTTATCTTCTCCCAGAGCATACTCGTACACCTTGTAGATGGCGATTACTCAGAGGCCATGGCCCAGGGGATCAATCAGCACAGCGTTTGTCATTTCATTGTAGATATCCTCAACCTTTCCCCGGGTAACTGGTCGTGTGATCACACAGTGATCTATAGTCGAGACCGGTCATGAGATGTAGTGTGAAAGGAGTTGATCGCAAGTATATACATAGAATAATGTAGATAACATCCTTTACTTCGAGAAAAATAAATCGCTTATGTTGGCCGTGGGGAACCAACCTCAAGCCTGTACCGTCATTTCAGATCCTCTTTCTCCTTCCAGAAATTGCAGTTTGATCATGAGCGCTGCCGACAAATAAGTGCCAAAACTAAGAACAGCCAAATCTGAAAATGGTTGAGTACTTAGTTTGATGCAATGTGTAATGCAGCCATTTTGCTCCACGTTCATGACTTAAAACCGTATCAGTCATGGTACAAACCCTCAAGAGACAATGGGTTGCAAATTTTGTGTACAAAACATGGGTTTAATGATGCAAACCTAAATTTGTAGCTACAGCTGACATGTGTGAGCAGCAGCCGCTTGACTGTAGGGATTTACGGTACAGGATGAATAGTCTCATGTTTCATGTTACACTTTCTAAACCTACCAAAACTACTTCGATGACTTTATACCTTTCTAAAATTATGTTAAAAAATTTACTTTATATGCATCTAATCGGGATGTGCAGCAGTTCCGGTTTTACTCGGAGTGGAACTGACAAGAAAAAGGACAGACACTATTGATCTAGGACCATTTCGTTACACATTCCGTCTAAAAAACTTCGTCGGTCCTTGCTCATGTTGTTGTTGCCAAATCTTTCCACGGTACTAGAGTAACTGCCAGCTCAGGTTTCTCACGGTTTCTTTTTGGCACCATAATAAAGTTCAATGTAGTCAAGAGCAGGCCGGTTCCAGGTCCAATCTTGCTGCATCACTTGCTTGCAAAGATCCTGAAACCAGTCCCGTGCCTCATACCATGCCGAAATTGCTCTGCGAAATCGCAATAGGGACATCGACTTATAAGTTTACTTCATCCTAACTCATCTAGCACCGAATCCGTAGAATCCGTGTTGAAAAGCCTTGTGCGACCAAGGATCATGACACAAACATGTAAGATAACAAAGGAAAGAACCTCCTAACCACGCCTTGACTCTGGGGACCCAAATCGTATTGAACGTACCTGTTGAGTGCGTAGTCAAGACCAGCCGCGTCTGGAGCTTCAAAGCTGAAACCGTTTACAGCCAAGCCCTGTGCCCTCGCACGTTCTTTATCATGATCTACATCAAAGACCGTATCATTCAATCCTGCAAAAGAATTACAAGCCCGTAGTTAGATCTTTCTCGAAGTCTTGAGAAACTGCTTGATCACGTCTCTCTGGAGCAGCATCTGTGTCACGACCTAGATACTCCCTGCGCAATACCTTCATGCACAACCTTTCTTGGATACAAACGAAATGATTCGAATGTGGTGCACCTATTAAGTTACTAATAAGAGAGTCGTAAGTAGCGAACCTCCGGTCTTACGGACCACTGGAATAGCACCATATCTCATTGCCGTTAATTGTGTTAAACCACACGGCTCAAAAATCGAAGGTATCAATATGAAGTCCGATCCGGCGTATATCTGCAAAGTGAGTATTGCCAACAAGCTTATGACTTCTATTACTATAAAGTTCGTCAAAATTATGTTCTTGGCGATAATGCAATAAGACACTGAGACGGGGGACCAAGGTTTATACCCAAAACCTCTCCCCCATATTATCCAACCATTCAACAATAATGCAAATCCTCTAGAACACTGATTTCCAAAATACAGGAAATAATACAGGAATGAGATCATAAGTCAATGAATGAACTGATAATCCAAACATTCTGAGTAGTCAAGGCAAGTTCTTACTAGATGAGAGAGCGGTTCGTCATACGAGAGACACAACCTGGCCATGTCACCGTGTGACTGATTCAACTGGTTCGACAAATTGACGAATTCATTCTGCACCCTAGGATCTGGTGCTGAGCCAAGGAGAACCACCTGAAACGCAGACAGATTTGAAATTAGAATGAAGTAGAAATAAGACGAAAGGTTACATTCATAAGGTACAGACAAGATGCCCGCTGTAGAAGGAGGCGATGAAACTCCAGACTAATGTACAAGTCTGAAACTATTTAAGAGTTTGAACCCATAGAGATCTCACATGACTACAGGCTTTTTTTTTAATTAATCAGTATCATTGGTTCGTGTCTTTATGACACAGAAACATCCAGTCAATTCTTTTGGATGATTCGTCTCAGAACCTACATACACTATTCAACTCGTGAAAGGAATTGACTACATTACCTGGCCACCACGTTCAAGTGTACGATATATCCCATGCTTAATTAGGGCAATGCCCTTCTGTGCAGTTAGACGAGTGATGATGCCGAGCATGGGTCGGTCATCTTGCCTCAAGCCAAGTCGACGTCGCAGTTCTTCCTTCGCTGCTCTCTTGCCTTCAGTAACAGACTCTGTGGTGTAAGCCACCTGCAAAAGAATCAAGATTATAATATGTGTAACCAGGACGAACGGCCTGAATTGCAAGAGGTCCATATTAAGCCAAGAAAGGGTGAATCAATTCCTGAAATTATTGAGTACTTGCCTACACCTCTCTATCCAACTGGAAAATTTATCTCGCCACTCGATACAGATCTTTGCATTCAATGAGGCACAGATTGCCTCGTTGTTTAACCCTTGAATAATGCAGCTCAGATTCAGACTTACAGGTATAAAAGGGTCAGTATAAGGATCCCAGATCTCTGGATCAATTCCATTCCTTATACCATGGAACTTGTGGAGATGTGGAGCAATCACTCCATTTCCGGCTACTTCAGCAGCATAGGTGGGTGAAACCTTCACAAAAAAATTGTCAGAAACATCCAACGTCAGCAAGAAGGGATGCACCACGTCCTAAAGTTCGTTGATCTACTTTCTTACATTCTTACTTAGGTTTCAATTCGGCACAGATGATACTTCCCGGCAATAAACTGATAGGAGTCTACTGCTGTAAGGACCGAAGAAGAGTACATTCAGAATTGAAACTTACAGTGGTCGCCATGTGAGCGTTGGCCATTGCTCTCCCAATAAGAGGAGCGCCAAACTCAAGGTTGTGTATGCTGAAGACGATACGAGAATCATGCATGTTATTCAGCCTGTAACCTTCATTGAATAACCATGCAACCGGGGCAGATGACCAATCATGACAGTGAATTATGTCCTGAAGATGGAGGAGATCAACTTGTAAGGAACTGAAGCCTACTGACTAAAGATTCGGTTCATGAAACACATACAGGCCAAATGAACACCGTGCAACGCTTGTTATCTTCCATTCAAGCATGCCACAGACCATATCCTCAAAAAGCACAAGTCTATCTTTGTCCTTGACACCAGCTTCATTCAGGAACAACCTTCTACGATATTAATTGTACGCTCTCTCGGTGGGTATAAGGCACGACAGTCTGCTCAGGACCAGAACGAACTCAGCCACGGAGATAGATTTGCTTGCTTAAAATAATAACATGCAAGCACATGCAATCTTACTTGAACCATTTGACAGATATTTAGAATTATTTCTTCGTACATACCACATGTTTCCCACTTTGCCGAAGAAACTCGAGGGCGGAGTGACAGAAGAATCCGAAGCGAGCTCCATCGTCTCTACGCCCGTATATGCATCCTGCCCAAAACATTCTGTGCACAGGGAAAGGTTGCTCATTACAGCTACCCAAAGACAAACCCGATTAACCCCACGTCAAGCCTCTTACTACGACTGCTTACTAAATGTGGCTTCTACTTGGCAGTCTGAGATGGAAGATCTAGTTTTTCCGATTCGGTCATCCTCTACTGAAATGTCCAAGTTTCCATGTTAACCGCCGATTGAAACCCATCAACGAGACAGTTGGTGGCTTAATAAGTTTTTAGATACTCAGACGTTCTCCAAGCCTTAATAACAGTTTAATTAAACATTTTGAACTGTGCTACGTCCAAGATACATTCTAAGCTTATATAGTCAGGTATCTGCGACCTCTCAACTTACCCATTTTCTGGTTCAAGAAAATGCACAGTCAAGCCTTCGACTTTTCCATTCCACACTCTAACCTTTGAGCCTCCAAAGTGAAAAGCCTGAACTTCTTGCAAGTCTTGAATCTGTGTTATCAAACAGAAGTCCACTCAGACGTTCCTCTGTGATAAGAAACTACCCTAGAAGGCAAACGATAGAAATAGATAACAACCCAGGTTCTGGAGTGAATGCGTATAGGTCGCAAAGGTAAGTTACTTCTTATCAAGAAGACACTCAACTTTGCGACTCATCTGGGCTCCTAACACATTAAAAAGCTGCAATTTGAAACACGAGGCTGATAGTAAACACTGTAAGTGACGAGTGATTAGTTCAGCGATCAGCGCATACTATACTATCTGACAATTTCCGTGGAAAGACTTAAGTACTCGATCTCAGAGCTATATGAGCCTAGACTTACATATTTATAGTTCAAACAGTCGTACTTGGGAAGTATAATCTCTGTATTGTGTCCACTTTCTTGAACAGCCCTAGCAAGACTGGTAACCACATCGCCAAGTCCTCCCACCTATCCCATGTATATACAACACATGATACGATTTGAGTCAATGGTTTTCAGCTGCAGCTTGGCAATAACTCCCTTTGGAAGTACCGGCTTAGCAGCTCTCAGCCAGGGCTGAGAATATAGCGAATGATACCAGTCCGGAAAATCTTAACAGAATGTTTGAATGAAAGAATGTTTGATCTCCAAAGGCAGTCTCCGTAAAGAGCTCCATCTGACTAAGAAACATGTGCTGCAAGTAGCTAATAACTTCGCAGATCCAAATCGGATTTTTTTTCCGATGATTATGTGGGTGGGGTACCAAATATGCATACCTTAGCGATTGGAGCCATTTCCACGGCGATATGGATGATGTCCAATGGTGGCTGAGACAAAAGGCCACCCTTAACTGGTACATGATAGTCAAGACCATTTCTATTATCGTAAATTCCGCCTCGGTCATCTCCTCTTTCAGAGAATACGAAGTCCATCACATACGCATCCTTGGGAATTTTCACTGGAAAGCAAAGCACAATATTGCAAAGTGTCAATACGACATTTCTCCTCCTCAGCGAAAGACAGGACGAAGTCAACAAATATTGAATTCTTCTAAAAAACATATACCTGCAACTAACAGAACTTTTGGAGCTTCCCTCTTTGCACTTAAGAAGTATCTACATTAGTTAAGCTAGGGGTTTAGGGTTTAGGTTTAGACCAGCTTAGAACGTGATTGTGCCTCTGACCACGTTCTAAGCTGCTGAATACATGCTCTTACCTGTTGCTTCGAGATGAGTACCGTTTTCGGCTTTCACCATTTTAATGGGCTCGAAGCATCCAAGAAAATGAGTCCAGCGATTGAAAGAACCACGCATATAAACGTCTGGCTTGCCATTCAGCACGGTGTTAGATGGGTTATAATATACTGTCACATCTTCTCCTGCTAGAGGTTCAGCTGGCTTTGTGTAGAAAATATGTGACTGAGCTTGGAGGAATGTCTCCATGGTTTTTGCCGCCATCTCCTTTTTCAATTTCTCTATATGTACAGCCTGCAGATGAAAGAAACATTTGTTTCAGTTAACGGATTTGACAAATGTACTCTTGAACACAAATCTTACGAAGAGCTCCATCGCGTAGCAAGACTTAGGTATTACAGTATGAGACAGCCTTCTTCAGATTAAATGGATGATTTGATAACATGGGTGGACTGTATTGGTTCTCACGCATAGAGGAGCAGAACAGGAAAGAAACTCTGTAAGAGTTGTTCGTGACCAAGTTTACCAGAGAAAAGCATAATTAAAACAATTTCCAGCGGCATACTTGCCTTCCTCTCCGCTTCTTCACGTCTGGCTTGCCTCTCCTTCTGGAGCTTCTCGTATACTTCCTCCTCAAACTGCCCCCAGTAGGCATCCTCTGCCAAGGTATTCGTAACTACACCATGAAAATCTCTGTAATCATTATTGTCATAGAGCCGTGCAGTCTCTGGGGGACCATCAGCAAAGACCCAGTTCAGCATGTACGCCTTTTCGGGAACCTTGACTGCAAATACAAACTCTTTGAAGTCAGTCGCGAGTTGAGTACAATTTGAAAGACGCAAGAAAGGTTACAAATGACCAGTCGATAGTTCAATATCTAGCGTGGAGAAGATACGTCTGCTCTTCTTGCTGGTGAAATCAAGCGACAAGTCGAGTTCTTGTCAATAAACAGATCAAATCAAGTATCACCACTTCTCAACTATATATATGATACAGTCTTGAGCTGTCAAACACGATTACCTTTTGCAGCCCACCAGTCACCACCATTGCTGTTCTGAAAAGACAGCTCCTGTACGACTGAGACCACTTCCTTCCAATTATTGTATCCACCATGTATCCACACCTCCTTGCTCTGGGAAAGTGGGCCTGATGCTCGATTGTAGAACAGGGTAACAGACTCACCCCCTCCAAATTTTGAAGGTTCGATGAACCAAAGTCCATCAACTCTTTCCACTGCTTTCAGCAGAGAACTTCTCGCCATTTCTCTCTCGTCATTGACGATAGCCTTAGCCTGGGCCCTGTCAGCCTCTTCACCAGCCTTTCTCTCTGCCAGTTCGCGCTCTTCAGCAGCAATGCGCTCCTTTTTGGCCTGATCTTCTTTCCGACGTCGTGCTTCTTCCGCCTTCTCTTCCAGCAAGAAGTATTCAAACTCTACCTTTGACATTCCTCCGTCCACCATGATGAAGAAATCCGTTTGGTCATTGTTTTCGTAGATACTGAGCCCATCATAGAATATGAAGTCAACCTTGTACGCTTCCTTAGGCACGTGAATCTTACAAGCCCACCAATCCCCGGGATCTCCAGGAAGACTAGTCTTAGTAAGCTCCGTGGTGAAAGGCTTCCACCTCCAATCGTTAAAAGCACCCGTGATAAATATTTTAGGCTGTCCGATTAGTGCTGTGATTCTGCGGTTTATGAAAATTTCCAGCTCTTCTGTCGCCAACGCAGGATTTGGATAGTAAAATATTTTGTTCTTCAGATAAGAGTGCTTCACCGCCAGCTTCAATATCTGACTTCTCCGCATTTCTTCCTGCGCCCTTTTCTCCTCTTGTTCTCGTACTGCACGCTCCTTCGAGGTTTCTTCTGCAAGCAGAGGCTCGACTTCAGCCCAGCTCAGCTCATCACCAGATTTCTCATCATCAATTTCTTCCTTCTTCTCCTCGACATCGGCAACGGTGAGAGTAGACCTCGATGTCTCATCGACATGTTTCTGACCGGCTCCAGTACTCCCTGCCTCGACATGCAGCACCTGCTCAACATTCCCCGGTTCAGCATCTCCTCCGATAACCAGTACCTGTTCAATGGTCCCCGATTGAACATCCCGAACGGAAGCAAATGTCTCGGTCCCGAGCCTATCCTCGTGACTGATAGCGTCATTTACAGTGCTACCTTCGCTAGGAACTTCTTGACGACGATCTTGAACGTTGGCTGTTGCACCAGAGAGGGGCTGCAGGCTTCCAGAGAATTCCTTGGCGACAGCTGCCTTCTTCAATTTTGGATCCCCTGTCTTTCTCCGGGGCCTCGCTGACGGCTGACCTGCTGTGACAGCACACGCATGAACAGATCGAAGCGAATCACTGTAGGTTCATTAATGCACAGTGGACTACTCGGAAGAACAGAGAAACGATGGACCAAGGTTACAGGTCAATTATTATACAACACCCCACAGCACTGTGAAAGAATTCTTTAGCTACTGTTTGAATCTGCTCCTCAAAACAAGTCAATCTAAGGAAATATCTTAATTTGACACTGTGCCTGTTGAAGCCTTTCAAAATATTACCATTGCTTCTTCTGAAGCTGCCATTTCGAAGGCTGCCTGTGCACGACCGATCGCAATTCGCGCCAGCACTCTGGAAACGAAATAGGAATTTGAGTTACGCTTAACAAACAGCACAGATGATCAAAGTAGAGTATGTATAAATGCAGCGCGAGGAATACATGTCGATTACATATTATTCCCAAAATTACGGAAGATTCAGGAAGATAAAAGCTGCAAGTCATGGAATAGCAAAACTTTCGGAAGGTGAAAGACGCGGGCTGTACGGACAATGGGAGCAAGGTATCGGACGGGGAAGATAGACCCGCCACGTAACTGCAAGCTTCCGGGAGTGACGGAACAATTGGAACCTCCAGCATTGAAGATCTGATTCAGAGCAGGCGTCGGAAATTTGACAGAAGAAGCCATGTCTCCAATTACGCAAACTTCATTCCAGTTCCCAGTCGGCTTCGAGTCGAAATGGTTCCCTTCGAGCGTTCTAAATCTCACGTAAATTGATCATGTTCCCGCTCTTCTATCGACGTGGCGCTAAAGCGCCTCTCACACGCACTGAACCGACAAGAATGTGTATCAGAATAGTCATCACTGCCTTCTCTGCATTCCTGCTGCGAGCACCATCCAGTCGACAGCTTGTGGGACTTGATGCCTTTACTCCCTTCAGTCTCACTTTCAAATGTGTGTTACGTCCACGAACATCGAACTTATCTCCTCCACCCAATGCGACCCAGCGCAAGCAGCCGATTCTGTCATCGGGTCATTCTTCCGAGGAGCAGCATTATTTACTTGGCCACACGATCAAGCGCAGGGAGGTCGAGGGTTTATCCCTGACTGGAGTACTTTCGATTCACTGACGACTTTTCGAGGGAGGCTGAGCTCGTGGGCGTGCGGCAAATCACGACCTCTGAATTGCGGATTCTATCGCGCTGCACAGAATGAGCTCGCTCACTTGTGGAGGGCCAGTGGCAAGCGCGAGTCAAAGCGCAAAGTGGACGGGCGATCAATTTTACCAGCCCGGGTTACGCGGTAGGCACCGGAACAAGAACACAGAATGTGAATTCAGGATCGCAGGACTTCAGCTGCATGCACACAGCGGAGAGAGGGAACAGGGAAAGGCCGAGATCGAAAGAAAGGCGATGAGTGCCGGACCAAATGCTGCCTAAGCGAACTGCTGATAGGCCAGTACGACGAACGAATCCAGGGAGAGACGAATTGGATCCCCCGATGGACGGTCATCCAACACTGCAGCACTTGGCTCGACGGTGAGAGCTGCGAGCTGCGAGTTTCGGGTCCCAGCTTCCAATAAAGCGCACCTCTGCCACGTCTGACTCGTACCAAAACTTTCCGCTCCGCTTTCGGTCATCAAAACACAATCTCGCCCAACGCAGCCATGCCACTTGTGATTTGTGAGGCCCTCGTTCGCCCCATCTGACTCACGTTTTCTCCTCCTCCCCTCTCCTCCCCTCCCCTCCCCTCGCCGAACGACGCCTCTCGACGCCTCGGCCTCGGACGGTCGCTCGTCATCTCTACCCACCACCCTCCACTCTCCAATTTGTCGAAGCCCGTGGCCCCCTCTCGTTCTTGCTCGCTGCCATTCTCGCGCCCATCTACTCCGCCCCGATAAATACCCGAGCTCAGATTCTTGCAATCTTTCCCTCCCTGCCACTGGCTGCGCGAATTTGTCGTCCGCGGCCTCCTCTCCGCTGGAGCCGCGGACCGCCTCCGAGACCAACGGATCTGCTCGCGCGGCATATTTAGGCGGGCGACGGGTACACGCCTGCCTAGGCCTATTTCGCGTAGCCTTCCACCTCCACCTCCACCTCCACTTGAGCCCCCAATCTGCTTCCCCTTTTCCCTTTGCGCATCTTCTCCGACCGCCACCTCTGCCGCCAGCTCTGCCGCCAGGGGCGCCACCTTGTTGCTCCAGCGCCGGATCTATTTCCCGTGACGACAGCGCTCGATTGGCATCGATCGATCGCACTCCAGACAAAACCGCGCGCGAGTCACGACAACGAGGCTGCTTGTCGGTTCTTGACTTTGGTTCTTTGACCGTGGCCTTGTTGTTACGCGGTGAGTTCTAACCCCGTCGAGTTGAACTGCGTCTGATCTCCTCCAGGTCCTCGATCGCAGTGGTGCATCGTGGTCGATGATCCTGCAAGATCTCTCGCTCGTTTCTCCCCTCCACCTTCGTCAGATGATCCTGTTTTCTCCTGACGTTGGTGATGAAATCCACTTCTCGCTCTACATGCATCGCTATCGTGATGTCGGTGTCAAAATCTACAAGTTGTTCAATTCTAAGCAAATTTATTCTATTTCCACTACAACAAAACGTCTTTCCCCTTACAAGTTTCCCTATGTGTTCTAAGTTACAACACATAGAGAAGACGACGTTTATGATGACAATGTTGTCGTTTTGGCAACAACAATTATCTTTCTATCTATTAATCTACACGATCAATTTATTAATTTACACGTTTTTTATTTTTTTAACAATTTTTTGACATATTCTTCAAATTTGAACATGATCATACATCCATTATTTAAATATTTATATTAAAAAAAATTTTACATATAAACTGCATATGATAATTGTAAAAAATATCAATTCTATTTACTTTTGATATTAAATACATTAAAATATCTTTGTGTCTATATATAATTAAATCGAAATTTTCAAATTTATAGATCATTAAATTTTCAAAAAATATTTATGAATTAAATTTTAAACAGTCAACAATGTTTATCTGTGTCTTATTCAAAACACATATATCACTTTTTTTCTTTTTTCCAATTCAACTTGCGCTTTATTTATGTAGTCAATCTAATGATTACAAACCAATTAATATTTCAGTTTTAATATGTATGATTAAGAAAAACTATTGTCCAAAATCCAAGTGTATAAAATTAAAATGTATGTATATATAACTTTACATCTAAAATAATGATATCCAAAAAAATTGGATATTTTCATGAAATGAAACTTATGTCAATTTTTGGAAATCTGAAATTAATTTTTATATCTAATAAAATTTCCAAATTTTATGATTGGATCCAATTTTTCTTTTTTCTTTTTTCTTTAAATTTTGTATCTCATACATTCAATAGTTAAGTTATTTTTTATAACTTGATTCAAAGAAAATGTAAAGTTTTAGTAATGACTTGTAAAATAATAATTTCTCAATTGAGAAGGGTTGTATTGTATAGTATTATATACATCATTAGATTTTTGAAAAACATTTAATTAATAAAGTTATATATTTCGGTTGAATTAGAAAGAAAGAGAATTTTTAGATTTTTTAGAAATGAAAAGTAATAATTAATTTAATGGATTAAAACATGTTGTCAAGATATAATAATTGATGTTTAAATTTTATTTTAAATTATAATTTATATATCATTTTTTCAACAATGACATGAACATTTAATCTTCATGCAGGTTTTATTATTAATAAAACTATTTATATGATCTTCATGAAACCTAGATTACTAAGATTGTTTATATTGAATTAATGATAATTGAAATGTGAGATTTTTATTCAAAAAAATATATATATTGAAAAATACAATTCAACTTATGTTAGTCTTCACATTTGTTTTTTTAGTTTATAGAATTCAATTTTCAATAACTTTACTGAATCCATGTTAGGTCTCATGTTAGGTCTCATTCTGGCAAATGCCAGCTTTGTCAGAAAAAATTAAATCAGTCAAATTTTTGGCCTTAATTTTGGCATAAACATTTTCATTTCATTATTTTTTGTTTCGCGATCGTTGAGAACCCAAAACGTTTTGAGATAGCATTTTTAATTGCTTGGTTCCAGTAGAATTCCATGTGATATGCGGCAATCCATCAGCAATCCATCAGCTCATCCGAATTACTAGACTTTTGTAGACTTTCTAGCAGTTTCCAGATGTTTAATCACATTAATTAATTTACTTGACATCCATCTGTTTGCACATCTGCACTCCCAATTTGCCCCAACCGGACTCGCGGGCTCTGTCTAGGGAGCAAACAACCTTTTTGCCATGAAGCAGTTCACGTCAGGCCTCGTCTAAATCTCCTATCATCATTACCTTCTCCTTTTGATGACTTCCACTATGAGCGTCCAAATGCTTTACAACTATGAACGTGCGCGGAAATTCCATGTGGACGTTAGTCTTTACAAAGTATGGCTGTTTGGCCACATTAATTTTGAAAAAGTTGGCGGCTAAAAATAGAACGACAGATTTCACAATTTTTGGTTTTTGTACATAAATATATATAAATTTATAAAAGATCAAGTTTTTATGCAAAAATTGTAGTTGTCACATTTGTATAATTATTTTTTACCTTATCTAACTAATCACAAGAATATGTAAAAACACTAAACATAATATTATTTTTTATTTTAAAATTATATTTATAGATAATATAATTTTTAAAATTAAAAAGTCAACTTTGGAAATTTATTTTTAAGCATGTAAGTGATTATTTCGTACATAAATTCATACCTGAAGAGTTCGATTAAAAATTTTGATTATGAGTTTTCATATTAAATCATTGATGTAAACATTCATCTCAACTTAATCATTGATGTAGATGAATTAAATCAAAATCATGTAGCATTCACTTTCACATTTATTGAGCATACTTTTGTGATGCTCAAATATGGAATGATAGTGGACATATTTTGAATATTGACACTTTGAAAACATTGAGAATCTACTTTGGATGAAGATCTAGATGCTTCATTCTTATTCCCTTCATTAAGATATTTATGATAATATCACTTGTTCATTTTTGGTGCGATTTGGTGAACATTTTGAGTGATGAGGAGAATGATCAAGGTTTTCTAAAGATAACATGGGAAGGAGATAATGTCCTAGTGTATTTAGAATTGTATATTATAATATATATGATCATAAGCGGAAGATATCAAGGTCATTTCTCATAAAAAGTACAAAGGAAAAATAACTTGTACCCTTATACTTTTACTAGGAAAAATTTATATGCAAGAGAAATCTCGCCATCATTAGTGGCCTCCACGTTGCAATTCATTGCCATTGTACTTTCCCAAGTCAAAAATGATCCAACCCTCATGTTAAATTCCAATTTGCAATCGAAAGCTAAGATTGAATCCCTCTTTATAATTAATTATGCTAGTCTTATTCATACATGGAGATTTTAAAAGATTCTCTTGATACATCTAGCTTCTTGTGATTTTCTCTAAGAACTTGGTTGCGGATCAAGTGACTTTGTATAGACTTTGTATAGACTTTGCACTGCATTTACAAAAAATGTTAAAGTTACTTTGAATTCTTTTTGAATGTATACAAACCTTGTCATTCCGATATAATAAAGTAAAGATTTCATTCTGATTTTGGCAAGGTAGAGTAATCTTTTGCTGGTACCCGATAAATCGATTGAGGTAGAGGTAAAATATAAAAGCATGGCTATATACAAGGTAACGAGTAGAGTAAAGATAAAGCTGAATGGATTATCGGGTAATTACCTTGCAACCCTTGATCATTGCAAAAGTCCGCCACGGAGTTCATGGCGCGGCCGCGTAATCCGTGGCAAACTTCCAAGTTACAACTGAGTTCCAAATCGTAATTTTTTTAAAATTTTGGGTTTAGGCAACATCAATGATGTTGTGTGATGAGTCGGTTAGTCAGATTGATCACGCAACTCATCATTTGTTGAGAAATATTGAGATTATGAGCATTGGTAGCCGCAACTACTCTGCGATGTAGGACGAGCTCTACGATGAAGAACTCGTCCCTAAGACCGTGCCTCGCATCGACAATGCGCAACATATTGTCAAGTCAAAGCGCAAGCGAGGGTGACAATCCTATACTTGGGCTTATATCTGAGAATGAGAGGCCAACGACTCCGTTCAACAGCGCTAGCAGCGACAGTGCATAATATGCAGCAAGTGATTCTCCCACAAGACCAATGCATCGAGATGGAAGACACATTTGCACTTGCACCACATCACGGATAACGACACCGTCTCATTCACACTGCCCGACAAGCATATGGTCTAGACGTCATCAAGTTGCGTCCGCAAGCCTGTGTTTCCAAAATTTGTCCTCGAAGGGTTCGAAAACGCCGTCGTCGATTATGTCTTGCAAGGTGACGTCACGCTTTGCGCGAGTGAAAGCAATCAGTTTAAACAATTTGTTGTCGCACTGACGCACGGATATGAGCCGCCGTCAATTTGCACAATCCTCCAGCGCATCATCTAACTATAGATGTCGTATTGTTGAAGACCCAGAGCATTTTGCTAACGATATTGGATTTCAAGTGTGAGGCTAATGTCGGCATGCACGTTATGACATACATGTTTGAATACTTGAAGCGCTTGGGCCGAGATGTGATCACCTGCGTACTGAACATCACCAGCAATAATGGGTCGGACGCGACAAGCGCAATTGTGCTACTCTTCTAACTTGTGAACGTTTTTGTCGGTTACGAGCAGCTGCACAAGTGCAACCACGTCTGATGTGCCGACCACTCAGTCCATGTCTTGTGCATAGTGCTTCTTCAGCACTTTCAGCGTTGTCTATCTACGATGCGTTACAACGTTATATACAAGGAAGCAGGGAATAAATCATACAGGTTTAGCATCTAAGTATTATCGCAGAGCTCACAGATAAGAGACTCGAAGTCTATTCATTGAACATGTAAACATTCAAGGCACACGACGAATAAATGCTAGACGGTGGGTTTCTGAACAAGCTCCTCACGTGAATAGGCACCCTATCGTGCTTATCGGACGATTTCCATAGCTGCATAGCCTAGAATGGACATGTTACGATATAGAATAGAAGCCAGGATATAATACACGAGGTGTATATCATGATGATGAATGTCATAGTTGCTAATTTATACAGATCTCATAAATTGGATGCTATCTAGAGGTACATGTTGAGGAAAGGCGATCTACTTGCGCCTTAATGATTCCGATTGAGTCATGTACTTAATCCAAAATAGCATATGTGGAAGACTAAAGAGCCGAGGTTGACTAGAATGTGCTACGTCATTTTTCATAGACCTGGATGTAAAGTTTTGGGGCAGATTAGAAGATAGTCAAGTCCTTAAAACATTAGGTGTCAATTGAGAATGTATGAATTAGATCTCAACTCTAGCTAGAAAATATAACTCCTTCGAGCGCGTGTGGAGTGATTAACATCAAATCAGTAACCTTTAGAACTGCGGGGACGAAGAAATCATCTACATATCATAGAACATCGAGAAGTCTAGTTAGAAGGTTGGGTTATCCGCGAGCAAACTGTGGCAAAATGTTGCTATTTCGGTATGAAGACAACAAATAACACAAACAAAACATGCCTTCACAAAAGGTGTCCATTTCTCCGCATACAACCCACCCTCATAACCACCTAAGGATGCACAATGGACGTAATTTGAAACATATAGCAACCAGTTAGATGATATGTTTCTCAGTCAATAGTAACTCGAAGTCTCCAAAGCAACATGGAAAGGAACATTGAAAAACACTACTTACTCTTATTATATGCTTACATATATGCAATTAATCAAATTTATACAAAAAGCTCCTTACAAGAGACTGCTTTGATAAGATCCTCTTTTGTAAGAACAACTCTATTTCCACGGCCATTGAACAATCCTCGGCTAGCTACAGTGTGAGTTGTTCAGTCTAGCTAGCTCAGCTCCATTGAGCTAAGCTAGCGCTGAGAATATTTCGTCCATCGAAAAAACATATAATAGAATATGTAAGCTTGTACTTGCAAAATTTTTGTCTTCCTTTCTACTTCTATTTGATGGGATCCCTCGCACTCCGCCGTTGGGCACAACAAGGCATTGATCAAATCAAACAGCTCATGACATATCAAGATCCTGTTCTAAGTTTGAAACGGAGGAAAGAGAATTGCTTAAGAAATGACATCAGGTTACTGAAGAACTGCTTGTGTGTATGCTAAAATCCTCAAGGTATTATCAGTTCACGGATATTGAAAATTGCAACGAGTCAAGAAAATGAAAGACTTACACTTATGTACTTTCCGCCATTCTGGATCTTGGCTTATCGAACGTTGTGTGAATAAGCTTGCTAGTGTCCTCGATATAAAAGACGAGATTATCAAATAGAGCAGATTTCAAGCATGTCCAATGATTGCCGAAGTGATCGTCTTTCCAGATGAGTGATTTGAGCTATTCAAGTCAACTTTTGGTGAACAAAAGCAACCTTGTATGCGACGCAAACTTGATTCCATTGCTCATTCCGAGATGACAAAACTGGCTCACATTCTCACAAAAATGGCTTCTTGACATAATCCATCGTCGGCATGGAAAACATGGCGAGGCATTGTGATGAGGACAATCGATGCAGAGATCGGGGGGCCTGAGATGATAGCAGTTGGATATGCTCATCCGGGCGGCAGAATTAACCTAATTAAGGAATAGTGAACAATCGACCCACAAGAAGGCAATTAAAGAAGCCGTTTACTTCACCAAATTAAAGGTAAGTTAACAACGACATGCAATTAATCAAGCTGCAAACTTGTAAGGGGTAGGTAAACCGACATTACCTTTACGCTACCATCTACCTTACCCATTGGTTAACTTGACATGAAGTTGTCAACTTAACATGTAATTACTTGGGTAAGGGTGTAAGTAAATCGGCATTACCTTTACTCTACCCTCTATCCTACTCAATGGTTTACTTCATTTGGAGCCGTCAAGTTAACAGGTTATTACTCGGATAAGGGGGTAAGTAAACCGACATTACCTTTACTCTACCCTCTACTTCACTCATTCGTTATCTTTCTACCTTAAACTCTAACTTTTACCTTCTACCCTTGAGTAAAAAGTATTTTACTTTACCTTGCAGAGGCCTAAGTTTTCCTAAGTTTTCATGAGTATAATCAGATTATGTTCTTGTGAATGTAATCCACACCAACATGCTATTTACTTGAATGTTGGTATTTTGGTATGTGTGCTTGTGAATTTTATTTTTATCTTGTGTATCATCTCCATAAGATATTTCATATTTTGTTTATATTTATATTTTCAAATTTTGACATAATCAAATGATTATATTGGCTAGCATAATTTATGAATTACTATTTTATTATTTTTAATTCTAATATTAAAAAACATAAGAAAATTATAAATTGTATTTTCTATGTATATATATATATTTCATATAAGATTATATCAATAAATAAAATTATAACAAATAATTATGACCAATTTTTATTATAATAAAGTTGATGATTAGTATCTATCTTTAAAAAATGAAAATTTTTTCATATCTAAAGTCAAGCTTAAACAAATTTGAACTTAAATTTAAGAATAGATTTTTTTAAATTTATAATTTCCTAACATCAAAATATCATTATAATGCAGTTAGTTGCATATGCATATAAAATTAGTGTGTTGCTAAATAAAATATGACAATAATAAAACAAATCATGAGTATGAAATTTGAAAGTTTAAACAAAGAAAATCTAGACTTAGCAACTATAAAAACCAACTGTATATATCAGAAAATAAAATATTTAAGATATACACAGTATTTTGATGGTATATGTTATCAAAAGCTACAATTGAAATATTTTCAAAATCGATTTCAACCATAATCAATACATCATGTTGTAATTTACTAAGGTGTTTTAATATGAATCATATAATCATTGCATAATTTATGCTTTGAATTAAAACAGAAAAATAATATTTTTTCATTTTTTATCATTCAGTAAAAAAAAATCTTGGAATAAAATAATACTCTAATCATGTTTTACATTTTATATTGCTCTAAATGTGTTTTGTATTGTGAAAGATTCTATATATTTCTTATTCATTATGAGAGCTTGATTATAAAACTCATCATGCATCTAGTTTTTTTTCTAAATATATCAATCTTCATCTTCATTTTTCAAAAACATCTTGCATATATCAAGATGCATATGACTTTGATATTTTGTATAAAAAAATAATATGGTCATTTTGGATGTGATTTTTGCTTTGAAATTTTTTTATAGAGCTTGTTTTTCTTTCAATCAACTTGTTTTGATATATCAAACATATTGAGTAACTATCAAATTATTGTTGTGGACATTGGTAGTGTTGGAAGGTATCTCATGTTAGCTTCAACCTCAGTTATTGAAGTTGGTTAAACAACGAATATATAAAAGAGCTGACAAAAACTTTCTATAAAACACTGTTTAGAGTGTTTTAGTAAAGTCTAAGCTATTTCCATGGATGAAAACTGAAGGGATGAATAAAGTATATTTGATATTGTTTATGCTTGTGTGAATGCCATTAGGTGTTGATGTGTGTGTGTGAGAGAGAGAGAGAGACTGTGTTAATTTAATAAGTTTGATTTTTCTCTTGGCGAAAAACTAAAATAGTAGTTTTTTAAGATCTAGTTGGTATTCTCTAGTTTGTAGGAACTACTCTTAGTCTCTCAAGTATGTATGAGAGTGGTTGCAACTCTTTGTGACACAAACTTAGAGGTTTTTAGTAAAGCTTTTGTGTGAAAATGTGAACCCACACGAGAGATACAAGATTCATGAATCATGTATCTTTCGTGTGGGTTTTCTCTTAGTTTTGTGTGTGGAATTTGAGTTTAAAACCAACGGTAGACTTTGTAGTCACACTTTATGTACTTGACATTGTTTGAGGAGTGATGATAGACCATCCAAAGGAACCATAATGAGTGAACTGGCCATCTCCAAGCGTCTTAGGAAATGCATATGTAGGGAGGAAAACTACTTCTTACTCTAGTTTTAAATAATATACAAATTCACTTTAACTTGTCATTTGAGAAATGCATAAGAATGCATAAAGTGCAACAAGGATATAAGTTTTTTGGGTTATTTGGAAATCTTTTAGATGATGTGAATCTACTTCTCTACATATGAAGACAGTCATTGTACAAGAATCAAATCAAGTCATTGATTCTGAAGATCTCTTAGTATTTAGATCTTGTATAGTAGATCTTATGGTGATATACATTATATTTCTCATTATGATAGTATAGGGAACTATTACATCTTACCTTTTTAGTTTCATCCACGTACGAACGTCCTTATGCTTTGGTTTGATCCCTGCAAGACCTGATGGGGTTTTCTATATAATTTCCACCCATGTACTATCATGTGGGGTATCATTAATTCTTTTGATTTTTGTTAAGGGTGACAATTAAATAGCAAAAAGGATGCGAATGCCCCATGCATTTTTTGACATTGACAAAGCCAATAGGATTTAGAAACGGGAATCCGCCATATCGGATTCAGCCGACGCTAAAATCCAAACTAATGTTATCTCTTCTTCCATTTAGTGTAAAAATAGTTGCAGAACCGACTATCATGGGTTCTAGATACATGTTCTTACTGGAAAAATACACGTATTACAGCCACGTCGCAGATCTTTCTTCGGAAGCTTCGTACATGAGCATGACGTTCCACATAACTGCATTTGGGAATCCTTGCTGTAGATGACAAAGGATGGCCATCACGTGAATCCAAGAGGACCAAGGACGGGAAGACCCCATCGAGAATCCAAGACGGAGTCCTTCTCGTGCAAAATGTTATTGTAAGTAATATAAGTATACATTAAATAATGTTTTTTAATGTATATTTTTATTTATGTATAGTTTGATGGCGAGGCTAGAGAATCTTCATCGTCATATCGTTCGACAGGCTCGTTCTACTTTTGAAGGTAACACCCTCTTTGCAAAATTGGGATTGACATGCTCGCACGATGCACAAGTCATCAAGAGCACTGCAACATATCAGCCATTGACTTGACGTGGAATTTTGAGAACTAATTTAGACAGAGTCGCATGGAATACAATACTCGCCTCGGTTCTTCAGCTCCATGAGATGGAGTTGAGGGTTGATCATCTTGACCATGCGGAAAATTACAGTATCATTACATCAGCGCCGAGTATCAAATTAATCTTCAATGAGTAGTGCAAATGACATTTACCCAAATGCCGAAGAACTCATTGCACCCTAAAAGCTCACGTTCGAATCTCAGAGAGGCACAATGCAACCCTCTAGAATTAGCACCGCATGCTCCACGAAAGCAGGGGTGAGTTCACGAATTTCGACCAATGGACATCGTTCGTTTAAATGCTCCGACTGTGTGCTGCTTGGTTCGTTCTAAGTGCGAGATTTGTGTATATTACTCTAGAATGTGACGACTGAGAATTGGTCAATTTGATCCGCCATAGCTCTCCAAAGAAATGCGTTCGTGCCTGCCAGCCGTTATTACGTTTCAAATCGTAGACAACAGTGCCATTGATACGACCATGTCAGAATCCTGACGGAACAAGGCCGCGAGCGAGAATATAGAATTGAATATCCGACTCTTGACTGCAACAGAGCACAGATTTGGATAGTGCAGTCCCGAGTATAGAAGTCTCACAAACGACACGGTCAGATTCCGTGACTTGTGTGTCTATTGTTGTGATGCCGCATTGTAGCCTCGCCTGTTTCTATAAGTAGTGAATTCTTGTCCTGCAGTTCACAACGCAGACAACGAGCTCGCCCACCTACTTACCTCTGGAGGCCGGCGGAGATAGAGAAGTCTGTTGTGCTTTCCTAATCAGCGAGCGAGTCACTCTCTCCCCACATCAACACTAGGCGCCCGGCAAGATGGTGACTAAGGTGTACATTGTGTAAGTGGAATCTACTTTTCTTCCGGGCCTGTTACGAAGGACAGTCCTCTCGGACGCGTCGCTTATCCGATCTTGCTTAGGATGTTGGGAGTCTGGTCTGCGAGAGATTTTTGAACCTACTACAGATCTAGGTCAATATTGTTGTTTAATAAAGCTGACGATGTGGACCAGTAGTGGACATTCAGAAATGCAAATCGGGTTTGCTTCGATTAGTCGATTATCGCAAAGATGCGAAATTCAAATGTGGAGCAACTTTTGTGGACCCGAGTCCTGGTAGCGTGATCAATTGTCTCTCATCGTGCTCCAAAATTTGCCATGGAATAGACGCCCTGCTGGATAGGACCGACGATAACTGTTTTATTAAGCAGTTGATTGACTCTGCAATGTGAGGGCAGATACTATTCCATGTATGGCCATGTGGAAAAACTTGCCGAGGAGATTAAGAAGGGTGCCAATTCCGTTGAAGGAGTCGAAGCAACTATGTTTCAGGTCTGTTTTCAGCAGTTTTTTCCTTCGCGTTTTCAGCAATCCTTTCCATTTGGAGTGCACGATTATGGAACAGATCATAGGCAAAAATCATTGAGGATCATTTGTTAAGGGACAATATGAACTGGTGCAGGTGCCCGAGACATTGAACGAGGAAGTTCTAGGCAAGACGGGTGCTCCACCAAAGTCTGACGTTCCGATCATCGAGTCTGCTCAATTGGCTGATGCGGACGGCCTGATCTTTGGATTCCCCACCCGCTATGGGATGATGGCAGCTCAGTTCAAGGCATTCCTTGATTCCACAGGTGGCTTGTGGCGAACCCAGGCTCTCGCTGGCAAGCCAGCAGGCATTTTCTACTCTACTGGATCTCAAGGGGGCGGTCAAGAAACCACAGCGTGCGTATTTGCACTTATTCTGCATTAAACTGCGTTAATTGGGAAGGCATGCTGTCTTTGATATGAACCGGAAATGTACCATAATTCAGTTTTGCTCATATCGACATAAGTGGGTCGTTTTGGGTAGTCTAAACGAACTTAATTTTTTAAGGTTTCGTATAGTTTTAATTCTTGTCGACTTTCAGTGATGGCTGTACCTTTCGTTTATTTTTTCCTCTTGTAAAGGATTAGCATGTTATCGTTTTCCAGCGAATTTGAGTGCTTCGCTGTCTCTTCAATCAGCACTTAGTTTCAGCTCGTCTTGACGCATTACCTTTTAGATTCTAGCTTTGTTCGTGTACCTTGTAAATAGGTGTCATTTTAGGTCCCCAGTCTGTCGGGCGGCAGTCAGGAATAGAAATTTCGTCCAAGGTTCCACGGCTTCTTTCTCATCCTCTGTAAACAATATGGGGCATACCATGGTTTGGTCTTGATAGACATGCGAATTTAAAATATTGTAGTTTAGCTTTCTATGTAAAACAGATTTTGAATGGATGTGAGTTCTGTTGTGCAGGTTGACCGCAATCACTCAGTTAACTCATCATGGTATGATTTTTGTGCCTATTGGTTACACCTTTGGTGCCGGCATGTTCGAACTGGAAGCCGTGAAGGGTGGATCCCCATATGGCGCTGGAACTTTCGCCGGAGATGGAACTAGACAACCATCAAAGCTTGAAATGGAGCAAGCTTTTCACCAGGGCAAGTACATCGCTGGCATCACCAAGAAGCTGAAGTCAGGGAGTATCTAAGTGATCTGTCGTTGCTCTTTTTCAGTGGGCATCATGCAGTGAGTGGTAGATATTGCAGGATGGTCAAGTCTCGGGGTTTACTTTAGACTAAATAGCTTCGGAAAGATTCACCAACGACTTCAAACACCGCAGATTTTGACCACTCAGACATGTCACTCCCTGGAAGCCGACAAAGGTCTCTTCGACATGCGCTTTTACATACTGTCAGTATTATTTGATCAGCCGGTGAATTCTTGTTAACGTGCCATCAATTTGATAGAACAAAGTTCTTTCCTTGGTTAAATATATGTGCTTCTGCATCAGAGAAACTCGTCCAAGAATAGACCTATATTGTGAAATTTGTCCATAAATTGCCGTTAAATACGAATTGGGCTCGAAACAAGAGAACCTTGAAAGTGGTTAACTCACGAATGTGGATTTTTCAACGATGTTGTATTCGTAATATGTGAATGAAGGTCGATCAGCTAGTCCCATTTAGTGATGTGAGCCATTCCTCGCTTTTGCGTATCGTGTAACACAGTTCTGAGATTGGAATGTAAATAGGGTTTCCAGGTGTTTATGTTCCAAGTTTCTTCACTTCCGAGAAGTTTGTTCTGTAGTGGAGTTTGCTGTCCTAGCTTTTCAATGTGTAGTTGGTAAATGATATGCAGCGGACTACTTACTGTTTTGTGTGTATGCATTGTCGTTATGGTAGAAGCTTTCATTGATTCTAGCATAAATACTTAGAAATGCCAAGAATTTGTTTAGAGACGCGGTTGTAGTCGTAAAGTTTATCACTCTAGCTTCTCTCCTCGAGTTCGCGCGAGTCGGGCTGCGCAAAACCATCAAGTTCAGCGGTAAGCAATTTATGAATGACGATTTTATCCAGTTTCAGAGGACCTAGAAGCTACATTTTAGTGTTATCTCGTGAAGAAGCTAACGCGCTATAAGTAACTCGGAACATAAACAGATACGAAATCAAATGAAGACTAGAATTTTCTCTACCGCGTCTAAGATGTATTTTGATGTAAACTCTATTACACGTGGTACATCACCAAGTGTCCAGTTATCGGATCAAGAATAGGGATGTGGAAGCACACAAAAGATAAAAATTTAGTCATTCTAGCACATTCTTTTGTATACCTATGAACGTATATTAGATGTATAATATACGTAAATAACAGTAATGTACGTCACTGCTGCGATATTTAGCAAATATACGTGTTATAGAGGACACGAAAGTATCTTCAATAAACTGTCGAGAAGATATTGCACAAATTTATATCACACAAATTTGCTATCCTCGCTGCAGTCGAGTATGAATGTACTTGCAATTGAATGTCAAGTGAACACACATCGATCAGACTGCAGCTTCTTCGTTGACGACAGAAAAGTCATGATCAAATTCACTCCCAGAAACAGATCGTTCGTTTCAATTGGAATGATGTTTGTCTAAACTTTGTAGCTATCAAGTATGGAAGTGGAAGGAATACATCCGTTCCATACAATGTCATGCTAGTTACACTGACACTGATTCCGAAATATTGTGAATTATTCGAATGATCAATATGGAGAAAAGACGCAGCTATTCTCCATTACGAAGTAACGTGTACAACTGGAGAAGTACTACTGTAGTTTGTCAACTTCTCAAGTACAAGCTAGTTGGTAATGCGCGACATATATCTGACAAAACAATCAATCTTGTATCAAACATAGGATCAAGGCGTAATCAGAAATATGAGTAGGAAGACTTTACAAACATTAGAAGAAAAGGCATGGGATGAGAAATACTTTTGCTTTTGGTAAATAGAGTGCTAAAGAGAGCATAGTAGGAATTACACCATTCACATAACTAGTTCTCCGTGGGAAGATGCCAGCATTTATAGTAGATACAATAGTTGTAGCTCGTTCTGAACTCTGTTATATTTGCATTTCAAAGTTATAAAGTCAAGCTGCTGGTGTAGGTGAATTTAATGGTGTAATTTATGAAGTGATTTTTTGAAGATTATTTTTATGATGTACTTTGACTAGTACTAATACTTGAAATCTTAAAAGCTGGGTTGAAATATACGTTTTTTGAATAATATGATTATAAGTAAAGGTTGTATGTGAAGTTTGTAAAGGTAAATAAAATCTATTCAAAATTCAATTTGAATTGTATGATTGAAATTGGAAACAAGATAAACATGATACAACTAATAAATTCAAGATTGATAAATCAACATTTATTTTGTTGTTGTTAGAATCATTTAATTTAATTAAATGATTCTATCAACATAGAATCATACATAGTTGATTCTATAAACTTTGCACAATATATATATATATATATATATATTATTTTTATTTGATCTGAAAATTCATATGATTATAAAAATTGCAAAAAAATGAAAAATTAGTAGTGTGTTCAGATCTTGGTATACTTGGTTACTTTAATTATGAATAATTAAACTAATTAGAGTTGGTTTAAAATTTCTTAAATACAAATTGGAGTTTTTTTTCAGTAAAGCATGATGTTTTTCTGTGTAAATAGCACAATATTATGAATCATGTAAAATTTTCCTTCTTGTTGTTTGTTTTTGCTATTTTTTGTTGTTGCTACAAGCTATTGATATTAGAGCAAGCAAGTGTTACAATCTTCTAATTCGCTCAATTTGGCAGACATAACATTCATTTTGCTATTTTAAAAATTTCAACTAAGTTGAAATCTTTATTGGGTTTTGTAGAAAAATTTTGATCTGGATGAAATGTATCAATCTGTTAACATTAGATGCAAGGTAAGTAAAGTTTTTCTTATAATTTGAAATAAAAAATAAAATGATTGAAAAGTTAAAAGCCATGCGCAATTTTAAGAAAGATTGTTACGGATTGTTGGGCTTGAAATTTTTTTGATTAGAAGTTGGCAGTTGAATCAGGTTTAAAGTCATGAACATTAATGATATTTTCAAGTTGCTATTGATTGAGATTTCAGATTTTAAAGAAATAATTACTCTTACAGATTATTGTAGTATCATTAAAAAATCTTTAGCATTTGATTTGAAGCTCAAATTGTTAAATGAAAAGATATTAAAAGTAAGATTGATACAACTATACAAGATTAATTTTCTACTATTCATTAATCATGAGTGACTTAGCTTGTAATATGGTGTTATATAATATTTATGATATCATTGGATGAAACACATTGACATGTCTATATTGTATTTAATTTTAAAAATAAAATTTTATATTAATTGATATATGCATTTTGATAGGAAATTGCGTGAATTTCAAAATGCATACTTTAGTATGTATGAGCAACAAATCAAACAAAGACATATGCAATTTGTTGTAGTTTACATACAATCAAAATCAAAGTCATTGTTAAACTTGTCAATGTCAATAGGTTGTAGTGTCTTGAGAGAGATTAAAACATTTCTTTTTCATGGATGTGATCAAATTTTGAATGTGAAAGTTACTTTTTAATAATTTTTTTTAATGATGTGTGATTGAAAGCTAAGTGCTACTACAGAGAAAAGAAAAAATCAATAAATGATGTGGTATGTAACACAATTAATTTTTTCAATCATCAGTTTGATTAAGATTGGAGATGATGAATTTTTTTTTAATGCTTTGAATAGTTGCAATTGAATGAATGCTGGTTTGAAGATTGTTCAATTTGTTAAATTTGCATGTATCATTGCAATATGATCACCAAATTAACCTTTTCAAAAATAAAAAATAAAATAAAAAATTCAAATTATATTACTTACTTCATAAATTGAATAATCTTTATTCAAATATTTAATTATTGATAATAGTTTTCTGTTATTTTATAATTTATGTTATTTGATAACACAAATGTTTCGAATGTAGATCCAAATCTCTTATCATTCTTGTGTAACAATATATCATTCAACAATAAAAACGTCAGTTTATTGGAAATGTGACAAAATTGACAAGTTTAAGGAATGTTGTAATGCAAATATTAAATCTATTATTCAAACTTTAGCCAATGTGACTCAAGAGTTCGATGCTCAAGAAAATACTTGCTCAATAATGTACTATAAAATCTGAATTAAGTCTTATATGTTTTATAAAAAAACTGTAATGATGTATGAATTTTGAACACTGGTTATATTTATCACATTATTTACAAATTTCTATTATATTCAATCAATTTAAATGATTAAATTTTGAGTAAAATATCTTGATCTTGAAAATGAAAATGTATTAAAATTCAAACATTTAGTAACTCACGTCAAATTCATACTATATCTTGTTTGAATGAGTACAAAAATAAAAAATGCCTTGAGGTGAAAATAATCAATAATATTCCTTTGAGCAGATACAAACATAGAAGTTTTTATATGCTATAAGACAACTCCTGTGATAAAACGAAATTTCCTAAATATGGATTTGAAATTTTGTCTAAGTCCTACAAAAATTTTGAGGTGGTAATAATACTTATACATGATATCATTTTTAATATAGAAATTTTTTTTAAAGAGAGTTTTTTCACACAAAAGTATGTAAACAATCAAAAAATAAATTTGAACATCAAATTTTTTCATGTTGTTAGCTTAAAAAAAACTGATCACACAATTAAAATTAAATTCGAATTATTTAAATAACAAAAATCATCATCAAAAAATAAAAACATCATGTCTGAGAATGTCAAATATGAAATATTTCATATCAAAATCTAATAATTTCCACAAACCTATTGATATCCAACAAGTTCATATTTCATTAATTATCAAATTTGAAAATACACTCAGCACAAATTTTTATCATGGTTGTTTTTAAACTTTTGATTCAAATATTTTGAATCTAACATTTTTAAAAAGAATACAAATTTTCATATCAATTATTGAATTGATTTATGGAAACAAATTATTTTTCATCAGATGCTTGAATCTTGAAAAATTAAACAGTTTGAATTTAGACAGATGATGATTTAAAATTAGTTTTTTAAAGAATTCTACCAAAAACTAATAAATGTAATTCGATCAAGCACTCCGTGGATTACATGTATCGTTAACATATTTTGTTGAAGTGTATAGTATAGACGTGTTGGTGATGCATTAGTAAGAGAAAATTATCAAACAAATCGTGTTTTGTCAAATTTGTTGACTCTCATTGACAACATTATCATTGATTATGATGTTTACAAGATAATAATTTAGTTCAAGACTTTTGACATTTTTCCAATAAACCATTCCTTTACACTCTTTAAATTTATTTGATAATTTTGGATCTAATACTAACTCCAAACTTCTTTTCATCTTTGTTATAATGTAAATATGATCATCCAGAAGTCATATTATATGATTCATCAACTAAAGAGAGTGATGTACATGATATCATATATTACTATTAGAAATTAGTCACAAAAGCATTTATCACTTCATTGTTGATAATTGTTTGTTTATCTTCA